ATTAAAAAAAAAAAAAAAAAAAAAAAAAAAAAAAAACGATATATATATAAATGAGAAATAATAATATATAGAATGAAACTTTTAAAGGATGATGAAAATTTCTTTTTTGATAAAGAATATGAAATAATTAAGAAAAAAACGTTGTTTAAAATATTATTATCTGTTTTTATAAAAACGCTATTTGAGTCATTTCTTCAACCACTTTTACCCTTTTATATTTTAAATTATTATAATATTGAAGTAAAAGAATTGGGAATATTACTAAGTTTTTATTCTTTATCTCAATGTGTTATGTGTTTAATAATTGGATTTTTTTCATCAGTTAATAAAAAATATTTGTTAATATTTTTACTTATATTTAATTTAATAGGTATATATTTATTATATATGCGATTAAATTTTACCTTTTTGATAATTAACAGAATTATATGTGGAAGTAGTTCAGTTTTTAGTGTGGTTGTAAATGCTATCATTAATGATTTAGTTGATACAAATGTATGTATTTATTATACATATATAAATATTTTTAATGCAATTGGGATTATATTAGGCCCTCTTTTATCTTCCTTTTTTTTAACTATTTTTAATTTTCAGATTATCTTAAATTTTAATACATTAGGATTATTTATTTCTTTATTTATTATTCTCACAATATCAAATGACTTACTTACTCAAAATAAAATAGGAAATGATAAAGATGGTTTATCTAATAATTTAGACAGGGAAAATATAACTAATTTGGATGAAAAAAGTATAGAACAAAATTCAAGTAAAAATAAGGATGAAAAAAATCAAATTATAAACACAAAATTTGTTAATAGGAATATTAGAAATAAGAATACAAAAAATTATAAAAATGATGAAAGGGAATGTTTAATAAATAGTTGTATTTTAAATACAAAAAGCAATATATTAGAAGTGGAATATGAAGAAAAAAATTCCAATTATTGTAACGAAGAATATTCTATTTTCTCACATAAAAAATCTTTAAAAAAGAATGATTATTCTTATATTTCTATAATAACATTGTTCTTAAAAAAAAAATTAGACCTATTTATTAATACTTGTCTTAGTTTTAAATTTAAATGTCTACTTTCAATTTGTTTATTTCGATTTACTTCAGCATTTTCTTCAAATTTAATGAGCAATATATTTTTTGTTTTTTATAATGATAATGTTTCATCAGGTAATCAAAAAAAAAAAAAAAAAAAAAAAAAATCATATATAGATATTTTATTATCTCACAGTACACATATATATTTATTTTTTAAATAGATAATAAGCAAATACAGATTAGTGTTTTTGTATCATTAAGTGGAATCATAATGATTTTTTATCAGTACTTTTCTTTCTCATATATTCTTAAGCAATTTGGATACAATGGTTAAAAAAAAAAAAAAAAAAAAAAATTAAATAATTATTTGCATATTTATTAAACCATTTTAGACTATTTTCATAAATTTATTCATATTTTTATAATTTTAATAATTTTATGAAAATCAAATATTTTGTTTTAATTTCATTTTATATATATATATATGTATGTATATATTTTTCTTTTTTATAATTTTATAGGTACAGCAATTATAGGTTTACTTATTCAAAGTATAGGAATATTATTAACATATCATAGCATAAAATACTATAATTTAATTTTTCAATACATTAGTATTTGTTTTATTCATTCCTGTTCTTATGCTTATATTGAACCAATAATTCCTACAATAATTTCTTTATTTTTTGATAAAAAGGATCAATTGTTTTCTCAAAGTATAGTATCATTTTTTAGATATTTATCATTGACTATTTCTCCTATTATATACAGTTATTATTATATTGAAAATCAATTATTTCCTTTTTTTATTTCTTCATGTATGTCTATCATATCTATTTTTTTTGTTATTCTAGCTTTTAAATTTCATTACAAGATAAAAAAAACTACAAATAATTAAATTATTTTTTTTATCATCTTTTTATATGTTATTACATCCTTTTTAATTTTTATTTTGTCATTTAATAGTTTTTATGTATAAACATATATATATATATATATATATATATATATGTATATATTTAATATTTTTTATTCTATAAAATTTTTATTAATTTTATAATATTTATTTTTTTTCTCATATTTGTGTTTTTGTTTCTTTTCTCAAATTTTTTTTTTTAATTTTTTTTATTAACTTATATAATTTTTATACACATATGTAATTACAATTTTTTTTATTTTATTTATACCTTTCATTTTTTAATAATTATTACCAAGTATATTTATTTCTTCTAACAACACCTTTTTTCTTATTATGTCATATTCGTTTTAATAAAAAAAAATAAATATATATATATATAATTAATCTTATTTATAATTTATCTTAATTAAAATAGTATATTTTTAATATTTTCCATTTTTTTTTAATCTTTTTTTATGCACAAATAGGCATATTTCTATTATATATATATATATCTCATATATGTAATTAATGAAAAATAAAGAGTGAAATTTTTTCTTTTTTTTTTTTTTTTTTATTTTTTTGATATGATAAATACATTATAAAACGAATAGTAAATATGTTTAAAAAAAAAAAAAAAAAAAAATTAGACAACTTTCTAAAATACATAAATTTAGAACTATTAGTTTAATATATAAATTTAAATATTAATAAAAAAATATTTAAATTAAATTTTTTTATATAATAAATTAAAAAAGTAATAATGCATATAGGTATTAAAAATATAAATAAAAATAATGAAAAGAGATATTCTAGTATGACTAATGAAGAGAAACTTAATCTAAAAAAAAGAATTATACAGGATGGCTTGAATTTTTCTCAAAATTTTTCTTATTCTAATTTTGTAAATTATCAATATTTATCTCTAATTTATACAAAGAATATAGTAAATTATTAAAAAGTTATAAAGTAAAAAATTATCTATTTAATTTATTTTATTTTTTTTTTTTAATTTTTATTTTTTCACTGTATAGGAAGAATTAAATAAAATAGAAAAAATTTTTGAAGAAATTAAATTTGATGATAACAAAAAAAAGGAGTTGATAGAATTAGCAAGACAGAAAATACCTTTATTTTATGTTCCTCTTAATAATAGTTAAAATAAGATATAATAAATTAAAAATTAAAAAATATGAGTTAACTTATATATTTTCAGTATTCATTATATGATTTTTTTTTTTTTTTCTTTTATTATTCTAATATGTGACTATTTTTATATGTTTCATTTATTTCATTTTTAAGTGTATAATGAAGAAGAATTAAAATATTTTGAAAGTATTGTTATTCCTTATGTTAACAAGCAAAATGAAATTACAGAAATTAAAAAATGTATTTTTAATGCTTATCAAAATTATATTATTTATAATGTAATAATTTATATACTACTAATTATTAATATATAAATATATATATATATTTATATTTTTATTAAGAATGCTAATATATATTTGCACCTCACATATTATTATGTAACTCTTTATAAGTGAATTCATTTTATATTTTTTTATTAAAAGGATATATTTCAAATGTGGTCAGATGAACTAGAATCACTGAATAAACTTATTATTTTGGAAACTTATCAAAATAAAAAAAAAGTAAGAAAAAATGTTTGTTACAAATATTTTTAGATAATAATAAAAGAAATAATTAAATTATAAAATTTATTTTCAGTTGTACGAAGATAGTGAAATACATGAAGAAAAAAAAGAAATAATACATTTTAACAAGATAGAAAAGATAAAGAAAAGAATTAAAATGCATATAGCTAAGGATAGTAAAGCTATAAAAGTAATATAAGAAAAAAAAAAAAAAAAAAAAAAAAATTGAATATATATATATATATATATATTCTAATAAAATATAATTTGTAAAATAACGATTATTTCTTTTATTATTTTCAAGGAAAACAATGAAGAAACTCAAGAAGAATATAAAATGCAAGAAGAAAAAATAAAAAAATTAAATATTAATATTGATGAATGGTTGTAGGTATATAAAATATTCATTTTAAGAGAATGTACAAATATTTTATTTTAATTTTTTTTTTTTAAATATATATATTAAAATATTAAAAACTTTTTATTTCAAGTTTTTTTATTAAAAAAAAAAAAAAAAAAAAATGTAAAAAATAGATAATAAAATTACAAATAAATGTATCACTAAAGCAATTTATTTTAAAAATTTTAAATAATATATATAAAATTCTAGGAAAAAAAAAATACACTAAGATATTGTTTTTAATACTAATGTATTAAAAGGTAAAATAATATTATAAAAATTTACAAAATTATTATTACATGAAAATATACTCAAACAAGTTGAACAAACTAAATTAGTATATTTCATTTTTTTTATATTTGATAATTGAATTTTGTCCATTTTTTTTATAAAATTTTTTTCTTCTATTGTTTCTTTTTTTCCTAGACAAATATAACATGATGCTAAATTATAATTTTTCAAATTTTCATTTTCATTTGAAGATTCTTCAAAACCTTTAAAATATTTGTTCTCCAAACTTTTTGTATTATTATCAATATTGAAATAATTTACCATATTAATTAAATTATTTACAGTATTATTAATTATTGATGTTGTGTTATTTTTATCATCTAAATTAGACAACATATCATTTATAGATTTATGTAATATGTTTCCATCAAATGTTGTATTATTTAAATAATTTATATTTTTATAATAACAATATATATATATTTCTTTATTTAATAAGTCTTTTAATGGTTTAATAAAATGTATATCACTATATCTATTGTCAATATATGATGCACATAAAGGTAAATTTATTCCATTTCCTAATATAGTATATAAGAAGGATTTATTTGATATATTATTTGCATTATTCCCAAAAAGAACATATTTAATATTTTCATTTATGCAATATTTAATAATATTATTATAAATTATTATTTGATTTATATAATTGATATAGTAGTTTTTTTCTTTTTTTATTATATCATAATTCATAGTATATTGGTCTTTATAATTATCACTTATAAAATAATTACTTTTTAATACTATAAAATTAACCTTATTTATTTTTTTTTTAAACACTCCATTATTATATATGAGATCATCATTATTCATAAAAACATTTTTTTCTTCTTCATAGTTTATGAATTTTTCTTTTTCTTCATTATTATTTATATCTCTTTTTAAGTCATTCTCTTTTAAAATTTCAAATATTTTTTCAATTGTATTTATCAAATTACATATATATTTTTTGTCATCATATATATCAACAAAAATTATTTCAGTAAAAATTGAATGTTCATTCATTAAAAACAAATCGTTTTTTTTATTTTTGAAATTATTTAAATATTTTACAAATAAAAATAGAAGAAAGCAAGAACATATTTCTCCAGAAAAAGCTAAAGCTGTATTTTTTTTTTTATTATTAGCTATAATTATATCTTTACTTTTACACACATATTTTTCATTTTCTTCTTCAATACTTTTTTTTATATTATCTATCAATATCCCTTCTTTTTCTCCTTCTTTTATTTTTTTTTGTATAACTTTTTTTCCATATAAAAAATTATTCCCTATTTTACTTTTAAATAAACATTTTTCTCTTAATGTATTTTTAAATGTATATTCTACAAGTTTTATAAAGCAGTCTTTACATGATTTTTCTCTTGTATAAATTACAGCATTAAGCTTTTTACATTTATAACATAATGAAGAATTTATTTTAACTTTATTGATATCAGTTTTGTTTTCGAGAATTTTATCTTCATCATTCATTATTAATTTACAATCTATCTTTAATAATATTAAATATATCGTTTACATAATTTTAAAAAAGTTTATATAATTAAAATTTGATAATTTTGTTTTATGAACACTTTACTCTTGAATCTTTTTTTTTTTTTTTAAATATTGTTCATTTATTTACGATATTTTATTCCATAATATTTTTTATGAAAAAAAAAACCTTCTATGAAACTGTGAATTAATTTTATCTTTTTAAATTATTTTTTAATAATACTATTTTTTTTTTTTTATATATATATATTTTCAAAGGCTGTTTTGCTTTACCTTCATTTAACAATAGATTATTTCTCTATATATTTTAATAATATATTTTAAACTCTTTCCTTTAAATATTTCCTATTTTTTGCTAAAGAAAAACTTTAAATATACTTTTCATGTTTTTCTTATATTTCTTAATATATTAATGTAATATGCATAAATATAATTTTAATTCATTTTGTATATCTATTTAAAAAAAATAAATAGAAGAAATTTAAATTAATTAAATATAGAATAAATTTTTATTGAAATTATAATTTTTTTTTTTCTATGTATATATTATAATTTTTTCTATTTTTTTTTTTTTTTTTTTTTCATTTCACTCTCTTCATTTTTTTTCTACTAAAGTAATAAAGATATACTCATAAATACAGGACTATATGAATATACTTAAAAAAGAATTAATTAATAAAAGATTTATTAAAAAATATTAAAAAAATAAAGTTTAATATTTATTGTAAACTTCTTAGTGAAATTTATTTATGAAAAAAAATAATAAAAATAAAAAACAATTAACAATATCTCAACTAATATGTACAAATGTTGTAATTTAAAAAAAAAAAATATAAAATATAAAATATATATATGATGTTGCATATATAGAAAAAAAGAATCTAATAATATGAAATTTTCTACTTAACATATGATATTATAAATGTATAATATATCAAGACACATTAATGCGTGGTGTTGAAATATATATATATATAAATATATATATATTAAAAAAAAACAATATTTAAATTTTTATATAATTTTATATATATATATATATATATGGTAATTATGCTTCTTTTCTGTTTTTTATACATAATTTGCCATGAATAAGAATAGGAGTATTCAATTTCTGTTTCTAATTTTTTTCTTTTTTTTTTTTTTTTGTATTAAAATATTACAAAAAAAAAAAAAAAAAAGATAATAAAAAAATAACTTGTAAAAATTAAAAATTTATGCTTTATAATAAGGGAATATTTATAAATTTATTTTTACAACATCCCAAGTATTTGAAATTTATTAATATAATATTTAATTCAAAAAATTTTCTATTTTTTTTTATTTTTAATTTGTTGTATAACTGTATACAAATTCGTTTTATTTAAGCCTATAAAAAAAAAAAAAAAAAACACATATATATATGTATAAGGTTGGGAAAAAATATTTAAACACTTATCTATACACAAATTATTTTATTATTTTTTAAATATAGTTTTTTAATTAATACATGTGAATTTTTTTAAATAGTTCAAATTGAAACATAAAAAAATAAGATAAAAAATAGAACAATCATATTAATATAAAAAATAATAAGTATATATAATTTATAACATGAGAAATATATACAAATAATTATTTAAAAATATTACTCCATAATTAAAAAAACATATTTGCATATTTATTTCAATTATTTATAAATTAATAAATTATAAAAATAATATTTTTTTTTTTTTTTTTATACGTCACTCAAATCCTTCTTCATCACTTTCCTTTTTAACTTCTGCATTATCTCCCTCTCCATCATTGTTCTTGGTATCTTCTTTTATGTAATCATTTTTATCATCATCTTCCTCTTCATCATCATCATCGTCGTCTTCATCATCTTCATCATCGTCTTCATCGTCATCGTCATCATCATCATCATCATCATCGTCAATGTCTTCAAAGTCATCGTCGTCATCGTCATCATCATCATCGTCATCGTCATCATCGTCGTCATCGTCATCATCATCATCATCATCGTCATCATCATCATCATCGTCATCATCATCATCGTCGTCATCGTCATCATCATCATCATCATCGTCATCATCATCATCGTCATCATCATCATCGTCATCATCATCATCATCATCATCATCATCATCGTCATCATCATCGTCATTGTCATTGTCATCATCATCTTTTTCATCTTCGTTTTCACTTGTATCAACAGAAAACTTTTTTAAAGTATCTTCTTCATTACCTTCTTCTTGTTCTTCATTATCATCATTTATTTTATCTATATCATTTTCTTTATTTTTTCTCTCTTTTTTCTTTTTCCTTTCTTTCTTCATATTATCATTTTTTTTGTCACCTATTACATTTTCAATATTTTCTTCCATATTTTCGGAGGATTCAACAGGGTTATTTTTTTTGCTCCCCATATTTTTTTTATCTTTTTTATCTTCAGAAGTATTCAATGTTCTTTTTTTTTTTGGTGAATCCACCATTTTACATTTTATCTAATTACTAGAATTTTTAACAAGAACTTTATGATTTTTTTTTTTTTTAAAAGAAAAAAAAATTATATATATATATACAATAATTTTAAAAAAATAAAATCAAAATTCATAGAAATTAAAAAAAAAAAAAAAAAAAAAAAAAAAAAATGAGTTTACGAAATGCTACATATATTTTATTATTGCTTGTTAAAAAAAAAAAAAATAATAAAATAAAATAAAAACAATTATATATGCTATAAAATATAAATATATATATATATATATATATATATATATATATATATTAAAGTAGAGATAATTTTTTTAATTATTATTTTATACGAATTCAAGTAAATAAAAAATTCTCATTTGTAAGATTTAGCATTGTATATATATATATAAGAGCATGTATTTATTAATTTTTTTTTATGAATAGCAATTCTTTTTTATATTCCTTTTATTGCTGTGCAATAAAAAATCCAAAAAAAATGAGTATAAATACGTATGCATATTTATATATAAATACATATATATATGTATTTTTATTGTATTTAAAAATATCTAAATATATCTCAAAAAATATTAGCTTGTTTATAATGTATATTTTCTTTATAATTATGCTAATGAAATAAATATTACCGAAAATTTTTAATATCCTTTAAAGAATTACTAAAAAAAAAAATTATTTTAAACATCTATATCATTATATAAGTGTATATATATACATTTATATATATACATACAGCAAAAGTTATGAAAATTTCAAAATATATAAAAAAAAAAAAAAAAAAAAAAAAAAAAAAAAAAAAAAAAAAAAAAAAAAAGAAATTAAAAGTAACTATTTAAAAAAAAAAAAAAAAAAAAAACCTATTCTTAGTTATTTTTGGTTATATTTTTTTGTGATATATTAGAATTATAAATCACTGTGTTAAATATATACATTGTTGCAAATTAAAAAGTTTAACAAATAAACTATGAAAACAAATATAAATACATATTGAATTCTTATATATTGGTAGCTTTTAATTTTAGATAAAAATATATTTTATTTATATCAATTTACATTTTAAAATATATTAAGCATACATAAATTGATACAACTTATACTGAAGTTAAAATTTGCAAATTCTTTTAAATACAAAGTTATTCTTTTGATACTTAACAAAATATACTTAAATTTTATCAGCATATATGTTTAATTTGTTCCTTTGTTTCTTTTATATTAACATGCACACTTCTTAAGAATTGCGCTAAAATATATAAGAACTCGAAATATTTATTAAAAATGTTATGAATACAAAGAAAAAACTGTCAGAAAAAAGTGCAAAAACAACTTAATTTTTTGTACTTTTTAATACTAATGAATATTATGTATTCCTTTTAAAAAGCACAAATATATATAAATTTATAATAATGCTGTAAAATTATAAAATTATAATTTATCTTTAATGCTACTTTTAATTTTAAATGTTTCACATATATGATGAATATTAATTTTATTTTTCTTCTAAGCAAAGCATATATAATAAATTATAAGATTGAGTATGATTTGAAAAAAGTATAATTAATATATATATATATATAAAATATTGATATAATCTGTAAAAACCAAATTTTTAATGAAGATACACAAAATATAATTTTTATGAGTATCAAAAATGAGCCAATTACGTTATTTTAGAATATAGATATTAATATAAAATATCATCTTTAAATATAAGAAAATTTCCTATTTTATTTTATTTTTTGAAAACAAAAAATTAAAAATTTTTTGATAAAAAAAAAAAAAAAAAAAGCTAATAAATAACTTTTTTTTTTAATGTATATAAAGTATATGAATAGTATTATATAATTTCTTAAAATAGTAGTGATATAACTATTGTTTTAAAATATTACATAAAGGTTCAAATGACATTTAAAGATTATTTTTCATAAGCCTTTTACACGAGTATGATTGTATCACTCCTCTTCATTAATATCAAAAAAAAAAAAAAATGAAAAAAAAAAATGTGAGTTTCCCCTTAAATTAAATTTTCTTTTTACTTACTACTAAGTGTATTTTAATACTTATTTTAATAATTTTTTTTTTTATTCCAAAGAAAAATAAATTCAATAAAAAAAAAAAAAAAAAAAAATGAGAGTTATTTAAATAAGTGTATTACAATTGTTTTTAATTTTTTTTTTTTTTTTTAAGATAATTCATATATGATTTTTAAAACCTCTCTTGTGCTAATAAAATTATATATATATATATATAAATTTTAATAGTTTTACATATTTAATAACATTTCTTTAAAAAATATATTTAAATTATTATTTAAACAATATTTTTAATATATATTTTTTTTTTTTTTTTTCATAAATTTTAATAATAAAAGAATTAAACTAAAGAAATAATTAAGTGCTCTTTACTCTCTGATTTTCACTTTATAGCTTTTATTATTATTTTTTTTTTTTTTATGTTTATTATATATGTATATACTAATAAATTTAATATACTAAACTTTTTTATTATTTTTTATTTTTATTATAATTTTTTATTAATTTTTTATTATATATTATTAAAGAAAAGGGAAAAAAAAGATAAGATATATTTATTTTTTTTTTTTATTATTTTTAAATTATAAAATATTTAAATTTTATGAATCTTTTAAAAAGTAAATTTGTATATTTTTTTTTTTTTATAACTGTTTTATTAATAAGTAATTCAAAGTGTTAAAATTATTTTCAACATATCAAAAACCTTATCTTTTTTAGTTAAATTTTAATATATTTTTTATATATCATTTACAATGAGGTAATATATAAAATAACATAAATATATATTCATGTTTAAATTAATATATTTTTATGATAATTTCAATAGTTATATATTTATATATATAATTATATAAATTTATACGTATTTATGTTTGTTTTACTTATAAAAGTATGATTTCGTATATTTTTTATACTATAGAGAAATAAATAATTATACAAATGTAGTTTTTTAATAAATAAAACACTACATTTATAAAATGAAAAAGAAAATTTCTTCAAATGTCATATTTTTTTTTTTTTTTATAAATAAATACACTTTATATGTATATATATATATATATATATATATATATATATATATATATATATATATATATATATATATATATATTTATATATATATATATGTCTTAGTTTTTTTTCATATATTTTACTGAAGTTATTTCATATATATAAAAATTATTATACCATACGAAAATTATTTATTTTAATTTTTTTTTTTTTTTTTTTTTTAGCAAATTAAATCAAGATTTACTTAAAAAAGCCATCGCAGATGTATTTGAAGGAACAAGACAAAAAAAAAGAAAATTTGTTGAAACTATAGAATTACAAATAGGATTAAAAGATTATGATACTCAAAGAGATAAACGTTTTTCAGGTACAGTAAAATTATCAAATGAAGTAAGAAAAAAGTTAAAAGTATGCATATTAGGAGATGCTGTGCATGTTGAGGAAGCACAGAAATTACAATTAGATTATATGGACATTGAGGCTATGAAAAAATTAAATAAAGATAAAACATTAGTTAAAAAACTAGCCAAAAAATATGATGCATTTTTAGCTAGTCAAGTAATATTACCACAAATTCCTAAGTTACTAGGTCCAGGTTTAAATAAAGCAGGAAAGTTTCCTTCTTTAATTACTCACAATGATAAAATTAATGACAAAATTAATGAATTAAAATCTTCTATCAAATTTCAATTAAAAAAAGTTTTATGTATGGGTGTACCAGTAGGTCATGCTAATTTAAAAGAAGATGAATTAAGATCTAATATTGTACATGCTATTAACTTTTTAGTATCTCTTTTAAAAAAAAATTGGCAAAACATAAAAACGTTGCATATTAAAAGTACTATGGGAAAACCACAACGAATTTATGGTTAATAATTTATGTAATAAAAATTAATATAAATAGTAGTATTATGTTTTCTTGTAATTAGTAGGGAATTTATATATATATATATATATTTTATGTATTTATATTTAATTTAAAAAAATTCAAATTATTATGATTAATCTATTTTTTATCATCTATTTTCTTATCTTTTTTTTTTTTTTTTTTTTCAAACACCAATATTTTGAAAAATATTTGTTTTTTCTATTCTTTTCTATTTCAAAATAGAATAAATAGAACAAAAGAAAAATAAAAAACTTAAAATTCATATTATAAACAAAATATTGGGAGATTTATATAAAATCAACCATGAGAAAAAAAAAAAAAAAAAGAAAAAGAAAAAAAGGAAAAAGGGAAAAAAGGCAAAAGGTTTAAGTAAATTATAGAGAAAAAAAAAAAGTTTTCATTTTCCATTTAAGATATCATTGAATCATATATAAAAAAGCATGATAAATGATCATATATTATCTATTAAATGCTTTATATAAATGTCTTGTAACATTTTTTTAATAAGGTTAAATAATTCCTTCTATTTGGTTTCATATCATTATTTGTTAAATTAAATATGAAGAAATAAATAAAACAATTTAATATATATATTAAAAGGTTTTATTGAAGGGTTCTTATTATTTTAATTATTTAACGAAAAAACTAAAACTCTAAATATACAAAAACACATGTATTCTAATTTTCCCTTTTTAGTTAACATTTATTAGAAATTTAGATAAAATATTGTTTTGAAATTTTTATTTTTAAATTTTAGTTTTTTATTATTTTTATAAAAAAATATCTTAAAATATTAGAATTAAATTTGTTACACTTTTTCGAAAATTCTAAATAATTTCAAATTTATATTTTATGAAGTGTTTTATAATGAATACTAGTTACATTTGACAGACCAGAAATTTGTTATCAATTTTTTTTTTTTAAATATATTATAAATGTAATAAGTATGTTTCATTACTTAGCTTATTTCATATTTTCCTATTTCTCTTTTTTTTTTTTTTATAGTTTTCTTTTTATGTTTCTTTCTATTTAAAATAAATATTAAGAAAAAAATGATATAATGAATATGTATTTTTCTAAAAAAAGAATAAATTATTGGGTGATTAATAATTCCATGTCCTACATTTTAGTTTAGAATATTATAAATTCATTAGCATCTATGTAGATTTTTTTTCATGAAAAATTGCAACTACTTATATATATATACATATTGATTATTAAAAACTTAAGGAATACTTTTCATTTTAAAAATAGAGATATTTATAGAAATGAATAATATCTTCTCCTTACCATATGATTCACTAATGTTATTTTTTTTTTATTTTTTAATTTTTTATTCATATTCCTTATCATTTTTGTTGTTGTTTGTTATGCTTTTTTTTTTTTTTTTATAATTTTCTTTGTTCCTTAATATATATATATATATATATCATATTTAAATGAAATATTAATCTATTTAAAATTTAATATAAAAAGGTATTACCTTTTCATCATCTTGAAAAATATTCATTTTATTTATTTTCATTTTTATTTTTTAATTATATGTCTATATATTTTTATATATCTGATGTATGCAAAATTAAAATTATACAATTTTCCTTTTTTATTTAAGAATTCACATCTAGAGCTGCAAATAAGTGCATCATTTTGTTCATATATTATTTATAAAAAAAAAAAAATGTAATTTTAAGAGAAAATTAGATAATTTTTTTTTTTTTTTTTTGCGTATTTTAAAATATTGATAATAAAAAGAAATTCTTATTATTAATCTTTTTTATAATTTAAATAAAAAATTTGAAATAAATTTTCTGAAGAATATTTTATTAGGATTAATTTTATCGTAGTCGTAAAATTTATCCATGGAATCTAATTTTTTGAAAATCTAATAAAATACATTATACTAGATATTTTATAGCGAGATGTTATTTTGTATAAAAATAATATTTTTTAATAGATAAATCAAAAAGTAAACAATTACTATCAAGTAAAAATTATAAAATATTACATTTTTATAAACATTTTTTTTTCAATATACAATTTATTCAGTTGTACTGTAATTTTTTTCCTAATTCATTTAACATTAGCAGATTATTCTAAAAGCATAATTTCGTTTTTTTTTTTTTTTTTTTTCAAGATACTATTATTATTTTATCTAGAATTATTATTTTTGATATTATTTATTTTTCTTTTTATTCTTTTCACATATATATATATAGGAAATTAAAAATAACGAGTTTGTTATCTTTATTTACTACATAAATGTGAAATTCATATGTTGTTCAGTGTTGCAAAAGAAAAAAAAAGGAATACACCCTTTTACAAATAACTTATTTTTTTTTTTTTTTATAAAATGTTATTAAATTTTTTATTTTTAATATTTAATTCTTTTTATTATATAATTTTCTTTTATTAAATCATATATACTTATAATATTTAGTATTATTAATTTTTATTTTCTGAAAAATTCTTTCCTATTACATTTTTTTTTTTTTTTTTTTTTTTTTT